GCCGTGCCGTGTCGCCCGGCGCCGCCCAGTCTCTGCTCGACGATCAATAGCCGCGCCGAGACGTCCTCCGTCGCCGTCGGCAGGCACCGGCCGTCGCCGCACCTCCCAGCTGGTCTCGCAGAGGGCTGGGAAGTGTCTGGGTGAGGTCAGCTGACCGCAGAACCAAGGCACCTAACTAGACGGCGTCTGTGCATACCTCGGACTACACGTCTGTTTAGTCCGGCTCGTGAGCGGCGCCGGTGGCCGATCCCTATGATAACGGTCGGCGCAGGGCAGTCACGAGCTCGGCTACCTGTTGACGCGGAGCATCGCGTGTCGACGGCGGACGCTCGCCGACTGCAGAGCAGGCGTGAGCGCGCCGCTGGCAGCCCGAGGCCGCTACGCGCTGTTGCATGTGTTCGTTCGCCACTGAACGGGACATTGTTTTTACATTTGAAAATGTGGTTGTAGTGTAGTACTCGATCCCATACGAAGGTGGCCGTGTTTTGGTGTTAAGTTTCCTTTTTCTGTTGTACACCTGCTTTTTGTTGTTTCTGCAGTTGAGCTAACTTGTGGTGCTGTGTGTCACAATTAGGTGCAGCTCTGACGCTAAGCGACATTTGTGTGAAGATCGCGTGACAGACACTTGCACTGGGTGACTGGTAGGATTAGGAAAGGTAAATGTGTCGCGTGCGCTCAAAACTTAACTTCTGTTTGAATACAGATGGTGCTCAAGGCACATAATTATCCACACTGAATGAGCTTCGGCGATTATGGTGGCTAAAATCTCAAATATTATCGCACTCTTCTGAAATAATCACAATGGTGTATACGGTCCGTAGACTGCCGTAAAGAAGACCCGAGATCTCTAAATCTTGCGTACATAATATCCACCGTCACATTCGCAAAATTGACGTCCCTCATTTACTGCAACCTCTTGAGATCAATTGCGCCTATAGATGTCGAAAATTATGTTTGTAGCAGTCACGTGCTCGGTGCTCCCATCATCTGACGCTCTTAAGTGGTCCGGCGCTGTCAGAAAGTACACCTCTGATTGGCAGTTACCGTACCTGTCAGCTCAGTGACAGTGACATTGACAGCTAACAGTGGCAGTAACAGGTGACTGCTCTCAGGCGCCGCTGATGCAACGGCAATTGCAACATACGGTGTCGACCAAAAGTCTGCTAAATCGCATTGGCAGCCTAAATTGCCATGGCAGTCTGAATCGATCGTCTGCTCTCATGCAGCGTAAAAGTGTGTCATGAGGTTTCGGTATGGGACGGCAGTGGGTTCAGATATGCGATATATCTTGGCTGTGTAACGGGCGATCATGACACTGTCAGGTAGAGATATGAGCTTGTCCCCTGAGCTGCGGCGCAGTCACCAGCTGTGGCGCGATAGAGACGATGAGTCACCGTGTTCATGATCCAGCTTCTGTCTGTATACCCTGTCCCTTCGCCTTGCTACAGTCGCCCTACACCTCATGCTCCCTCCCACGTGTCTATGCAAAGTGGTCGTTGCACCGCTGCCCTGCACTCGTCAGTGGAGTGGGTGTGCCGAGCTGCTCCCGACCCAGCGGGACGTCCGTGCGGACCTGTCCCTGTCCCCACTGCAGGGCCACTCACAGCGGGGGCCGCTCTGATCGCACCGCTCTGTAACGGGCCCACCAATGAAGACCGGTGGCTCGTTCACGACCGAGGGCGGCCGCTCCCCTGAGTGAGCTGGTTGTGAGAGTGCTGCTGCGAGGCAGCCTGATGCCGCTCTGCGCTGCTGTGGATCGTTAGCTCTGCAGCGGGCCGCTCGGCGTTTGATCCACGGCCGCCTTGAGGCAGGTGTCCTTTTTAGTCGGCCGCTGAATGGCTCACTTTTGCCTGTGTGCACCGGTCGCCGGCAGCCGGCTCCTTTGAGCCGCGCGCCGGTGCGCGCTGTTTCCATTTAGAAGCCGTAGTGACGGGAAGCCAATCGGTCACCGGGCGGGCCATATAAGCCGGCGCTGAGCGGTCGCGCTGAGGGCGTCCAGCGGTGGCGCTGGCGGCGGAGACTGTTTGTTTACTGACGGTCATTTCACGGACGGCGGCGGCGGGCGGCAGTGCACTGGGACGGCACTGATGATGGGCCTGGTCGGGTCGCCTGAGGTCGGCCTGAGACGCCCTGTAATGGATCAGCTGGAATGTCATGGACCCGTGCCTCAGAGGTCGTTAGACATTCCGTTTGGTGGTCTAGTTATATTACATTGGTTTCCCTCTTCAGAGTGTTTCAGATGCTGTTACAGAGCGACTGTGTCAAATCCAAGCAAAGTGTGAGCTCGCTTGTGAGGCCAGGTCACAGACACCAGCTCCGCAGCTTTCCAGCGCTGCTTTTGGAGCCACTTTGTAGACGAGCGATGGCTCTTCGATCTCCTTATAACCAAGATGGCATCTTCAGAACGGTCATGTTATTACAGCCCTATAACCGTTCCCATGAAATTGAGGTCTATACATAAATGTGCCGGGGCCCGGGAGCAGGGACTCGTGAAGGCTTGAACATTTGAGGTGCCTTTATCACACAGCTGTCACTCAGTTATTCAGTCCAAGTAATTTAGTCCAGGTGCCAAATCTGAACTTCTCCTGAAGCACGCGCTGCATCTGCTGATTCGCCGCTGTCTAACATCAGATGACATCACTTTGACGTCAACTGGTGGCGGCTGAGCGAACTAACCAGCCAGTTCCTGAGAGGGGCGTATCTTGACAGCCCTCTGGGGAGGCTGCTTACACAGAACAGGCCGAAAACAGTGTCTGGATTCCAGTCTGCTTAGACGGCCCGTGCCATCACTGAAACATGTTGACGATGCAATGAGTGCACACTGCACTACCTAATATACTCGGTGCTTTTGAGTCTGACTCTGTTCCTAATCTGTCTCCTTGTGTGGGAGCTCAGATTCATGGGCGGCTCTTGCGACACAGGCCCATGGCGCGGCTGTCTCACGACGCAGTGCCAAGTGGCAGCGTCGAGTTCTATTTGTGCCGCCGCGCCGTGCCACTGGAGTCGGTGACAAGTTTTGAGAAGTGATCTGAGCGGCCGTGCAGCGTCTAGTCGCTCGGGCGGCCGCGCCGGCGCCGGCGCCCGACCGCCGTGCTGCAGCGCCCCGCTTCTCGGTAGTCGCATGTACGGACAGCGCTTCCTGGGGTATCGCGCCCCCCCCCCCTCTCTCTCTCTCTCTCTCTCTCTCTCTCTCTCTCTCTCTCTCTCTCTCTCTCTCTCTCTCTCTCTCTCTCTCTCTCTCTCTCTCTCTCTCTCTCTCTCTCTCTCTCTCTCTCTCTCTCTCTCTCTCTCTCTCCATCTTTTTCTCTCTTTCTCTCTCATCTGTCTTTTTTATTCGGCCTGATGTATCCATTCAGTCATCTTACCAACCTCAGTGCGACCCGCCACGTCGCCGCTGACCTGAACGTGCCTGTACTTGACGCACTGTCTTTTCCCGCACCCACCAAGCGGCCATCGTACTGATGTAGGCCCCTCCACACTTGCCCCGCCGCTTCAGCCACCGGTCCAATGGTAATCCTGGCCCACTCTGTCGCCGGTCCGGGGCTGGTAATCCAGACACGATAAGGTGGCCTCTCCAGGCGGGATGTCAGCGCCGCTGAGTTGGCGGTGCCCGCCGAGGACCGGTGTGGTCTCCGTGGACTTTGGCGTCACAGCGGCGGGTCAGCGGCTAGTTTGGACAGAGCGGGTTAGCGGACCGGCCCGCTTTGCGGACAGACTTGCTCAGCAGACAGGCTCGCTCAGCGGACAGACTCGTTCGGCAGACAGGCTCGCTTAGCGGACAGATTCGCTTAGCGGACAGGCTCGCTCAGCGGCCCGCTTAGGGATGACGGTCGGTTGGTGATGGGCTGAAATCTGGTGACGATAGAGCCGTGCACTGGGACTGGTGACTCACCAGGAAGCGCGCCTGCCCCCAGTTTGTGCAACTTTGTAGCTCACTGGGATTGCCGTCTTCATGATTGCTGGTCAGCTATGGGTTGTGATGCACTGCATCTCATTTTTTTTTTATTGGGGACACGGCGACAAGCCTGTACAAAAATGTTGTCGAATTATAGACATACAATTGTTGAGTCTCACAAGTAAATTTAGATTATCAAGGCAATGGAGCCTCAATGTCGTTGCCCGGTGCGCACATTTCTTTTATATTTTATAGAGACTATTTCCAAGCTTGGTGTTCGATAGCTGTCGATACCATTAACCCCTCCCCTCTGGTCCTCCCCTCCCGGGGGTCTCGGTATCGAATATAGCCTCGCTCTTCTCTCTCCCCTCGTCCTGGGTCCGTATCAGCGACCTCATTATAATCATTTCTGCGCCGCCGGCTCCGTCGGGTGTCCCGGCCGACGGGTCCGTCTCCAGCGGGCAGAAATGTGACGCAGCTTTTCCGTCGTCGCCGCCGTCTCTGCAGTAATTAGCAGCTGTGCAGCCTGTCCGGAGGTCCGGGCTGCCCCGCTCCCCTCCCTCCTCGCCGTGCCCCCCGGCGTCCCGCTCAGGGTCGGGCCGTGTCGGGAAAGGTCCCGGTCCGTTTCTGACCCGTCCAAAGGTGGCTGCCTGCCCCGGGCGGCTCGGCTGGTGACTTGCAGTCGGTAATGAGCTGCGTCATAGTGACGCCAGAAATATTGGGTTTTGTTGTGACGGCTGGTGACTTTGCGGCGCAGAACAGAACACGCGTCATCGTTACTTTTGGTGGCTGTATGAAATCATGGAAATGTGGTATGGACAGGTGGCATATGTGTGCTCAAATATCGTCACTTAATGATACTTTTTGAAACAGACGTGAAGCATTAACCTAATTGTCACTTGAGATGCATTGTCCGCCAACAGGTGGAGCAGATTCACACCTGTCGTATATTTCTGAAGTAATCTACCTGCTCGGTGTCAACCTGCTCTGACCAGCCCTCTTACCTACCGTGACCTTCTCAGTGCCACCTGACTTGCATTAACCTTCCCAGTGCCCACCTGACCTGACCTGACCTGACCTGACCTGACCTGTGCTGCTGTTTCAGACACACCGGGCCGATACAAGCCGCGCGATGTGACAGACGGCACCGACTCCAAGTCTCCGTCCAGTCCGCTGCACAGCGCCGACTCCAAGAGCGCCGCCAAGCCGCCGGCCAGCCCGCAGCGCTCCGAGGCCAAGGCGCCGCGTCCGCCCGACTCGGCCGCGCCCCGCGACGCCCAGAAAGCGGGCAAAGTCAAGGAGAAATCGGGCAGCGGCGACGGGAACGCCAGTGACTCCAGCTCCGGGCCCGTCATGCCGTTCAGCAAGGGCAACTTCGACTGTGAGTCCGCACTTTGGTCTGGGAGGAGGGGGAGCTGGTGGTGGGGGGGGGGAGGTGTTTGATGTAGTGGCGTTTTTCCCATACAAAGGAGAAAGTTGATAGTTTTCCGTCTGTATTATAATTCAATTCGATATCCAGTTGTAAGGACCCGTTGATTTCGTTTTCATAGTAGCGTCTTTTGCGGTTCAGTTTTTTCGAGATGTGGTAACTTGGCGTGATCTGGCAGCCTGACGCAGCCTGAGCCAATGAAAATATTTTCGTACATTCGCGAGTAATTTCTCTGTTAAAACAGAAAATTTGTCTCAACAATTTCAACAATTAATTTTTAACCTTGAACACTGCTGTACTGATAAACAGCGTTGCTTTCAAATAGCGTGATCTTTATAAACGTCGTTTGCTTGAGTCTATAAATATTTATGGTGGTTAGTGCTTATGGCAATCGTGCCACAATTAGGGACTTGTAAGCCAATGGAGGCACTCTACTCGATGCATTATTCATCTTTGTTTTAATGAGCTATTCAACGCTGATAACTAACAGTAATGGGTAATATTGGGTACTTAGTCGCAGACTAACAATCACATATCATAATGGACTGATAATAGCCGAGGTAAACCAGTTCATAACGGTGGTGAGTTGAGGTAATCACTATTTACGTTCGAAGGATAACGATTTAGCGCCTGATACCACTCGCCATACTTGGTTTGTCCGGGTTTCTATCCCCATTTTGAGGCACACATTGACACTGATTTCCTTCATCAACACGGATCTACAAATCGTTGGCAAGGACCCATCGCACCAGAAAGGTTATCCTGAAACCGGAATCCTCGCACATCGCTCTTTGGAGTTTAGACCTTGGCTGTATTTACAGTTACCAAAGATTGTGCCGTTAGAAATACGTGACAATAACTCCCCATAACTCCCCAAGCGCTCAGCAAGCCGTGTTTGAACGTTTTAATATTGCATTTGCAATAAACGGCTTCACTATCGAATGTTGCTTTTGTGACACCTACCATCTGTATCGATCCTTGTAAATATCTTCAGCATTGCCTGTTTTATTTACAAACTAATGTCATCAGTAAGAAGCGTGCGGGTCACCGGCACAGTCAATTTTGGGCCATCCGGCACAGCATAGATGCAGGCGCTGACCACTAGTGACATCTATGGAGAGATTTGTAACCACAGCTTCCAGCGGCACTCCCGAGAAAGGCATCGTAAAGTTGGCTTTAGATCAGGGGTCGGCAAATGGTGGGGCATGCCCCCTTTGGGGGTAATGGCGCCCTTCGGCGGGGGGTAATGAGGGCCTCTGAGAAAGCCTCATCTTTTTTAGAATTAATGGCTCCCTTGATGGGACAAACATCGCAACTGTTGTGCCCCAGGATTCAAAGATTAGTCGAGGTCAAACGCACAAAGCATGAACTGATTAGCTGGCGCATGCCAATTTTCATGTAGCTGCTCACCATTCCGTACAGTCGTGGAAAGTAACTGTCATGTACCTACTAGCCGGCGCTCGTCTATTGGCGTTTTCACAGTCACTAACGCAAGGGAGAGGAGTCGTCCATTACACCCTGACCTGAGCATCTCGGTCTCTGAGCTGGAGCTTTGCAGAAAAATTGAGCGTGTTGCCCGTGAAGATAAGCAGCCGCTGCTACCCAATTTAAAGGTCGTTGGTCATTGGGTGACCTTCCATAGGTCAATAACAACTGCCGAGTTAATCGGGTCCTGCTGTAACTTCTTGAAGTGAGATTTTGTGGCCTGCCATGATCCCAAGAAAATCTCACAAATCAACGGTTATTTGGGTTAAGGTCATGCCATTTTCAGGACAGATAAAAATGATCGGCTCGATGGTACAGTTTTTTTCGTGATCCGACCCTTTTAACGTGATCTATTCTCGAAGAATACCCGCTACCCCTATACGTATGGGGGTTAACCCGCGCCCTGCTGGGGCTCCTGGATTTCCACGCCCTGCTGGAGATGGAGGTTGAACACCCCCTATTAACTTGGCTCCTGGGTCACTAGCGAAACGCCGTAGTCGGCGATCGAAAGAGCGTAAGAAATGATGAAGAAAAAACTATGGTCACCTTTTAGGTCAAATCAAAGGTCAGGTCACCAGAGGTCATCGAAGGTAAAATTTCGCCAATTTCCAGGTCAACCTTTGACAATTTTCGACAAACTGGCCTATAGCTCAGGAAAGGATAGAGCTTCAGCGCTGCGGAAAAACGCATTCGATAGCTCTCTTAACGTTTTTTTCTGATGCCTGCCCTCGGATTCAACCGAAGGTGGTTTAGCCTGCAGGAGACAAAAGCTACCAAAATGTACGATGCTTGCTGATAGTTTTTCTTAAATAACTTTTCACTCAAAACTTGCAAGAGCTCACTTTTATCAGCATCGTGATCCTCCCGTCGAGAAGCATCGAATGTTTTGTTGCACATCAGTCGATCCGTATCGTCGAGCTGAACACTTATAAGGCATTTTCATCGCTCTGGGATGCCTTTATCAAAAGTTATTAGCGAATAGCTGTTAGATACCATTCATGACCTGAAATAACCTCAGGGACATACAGCGGGGTTACGGGTGCAATTTTCCGGTTCAGCGGTCATGTTTACTTGTAAATAAGAGTGTCACAGTGTTAGGAATGACACTGGTCCAAAAGAGGCGCCTTTCAATTTTCTACCATTGACTTTGCGCCCTCTCCCATTGATAATGGGAGAGGGCGTGAAATTGACCTGAACTTTGGTCACCGACATCAAATCTCCGAGATACAAATTTTGTACATGTTGTTGCCTTTATCAATTCCTGAAAGTTTGAAAGAGATCTGTCACTCAATGCAGCTAAAGTAGGCGTTGCAGTCTTTACTGAGGTGAGGTCACTTGACGTGATCGATCTGGTGACCTGACCTTGAGTGACTCTGGTCTGAAATATTCACAACATGTGCAGAAACGATGTATGATAAAATGTTCCAAAATGGTGGCGCTCCGTGCCAACGTTTTTGAGATATTTGCGAGAAACCGCAGGGGAGGGGCCTGCGGTTTCTCGCAGATATGGTACCTACCCAAAGAGTCACGGAAAAGTATGGAATTTCAGTAACATTGGTTGTATCACCAATGGTGTCTGGTAGGGTGGGGGTAATGGCCCTGCCTGGCGCCAAAAAAGGGGGCACGACCCCGGAGGACCTGCCGACCACTGCTTTAGATCCTTGAACTCAGATTTGAACTTCAGAGAAGAGTTTGACCTGGGCTAGCGTGTTTGGTGTTCAGTCTTAAGCAAGCATCTATGTGACCAAAATTTAGGAGCTGATTTTGAGCGTGTTCAGGGAAATCCCCCTGAATGCGTTTACCGTCTTTTGGCCCTTCTGCATTTTAGAATTATGATTATTTCACCTTTTGGCAATATCAAGTGCATTGTGCAAGTGCATTGATGTCATAATCTGTATCACCCATCGGCTTCTGTCCAGCTCTCGATAAAAGACCCGTTGCTAAGATGGAGCATCTGCCATCTAGCAGCCGCCTTCGGAACTAAAGCCTCGCTGAGCGCTCACCTGGCCGGGCCTGGCCGACTCCGCTGCCTAAGGTGACTTTTATTCCTAAATGCAATACGGCATGACGTTGAGAATCTGCCGGCAGGATTGTGGATTTTCGCAGAATCACCCGGGAATTATTTATGGTCTGATGTCACAGTCATAGTCACTGAGAGATGATGAGCAAATTGTCACCGCCCTCTACCTCAAAGCTCATCCCTTCTAACGGCGACCGGCGACACCAAACAAACACCTGCACTGACAGATAAACAACACCTCCCTCTGCTGCAGCGGCCGCCCTGTCTCCGCCGCCCGCCGGTGCCGGTTTCGCGCCGTGTCGCCGCGTTTCCACGAGTGCCGAGCGGTGCCGGCGTCGCCAAGGTCGCGGCGGTGTTCATCCGCGCCGGCGGCGGCGACGGCGGCGGCGGCAGTCCAACGGCAGTCGCTCGCTGGGCCTCGTCAGTGCGGTGTGTGTCGTGTGGGGGTACCGCTGGTCGGTGGCTGTGGCTCGCGCGGACATGGGGTAACGATGTGGCCGGTGCAGCCAGTCTAGAGTGCGCGGCTCAGTGCAGGTGTCCCCGAGGGGCTGGTGTTGGTGGACGGTACCGAAATGGGTAACACGGCGACCTCGAAGAAGGGCGACGCGTCGGAAAACGGTAGGGGCTCGCAGAGAGGAGGCGGTATCAATAGGGGATGGCAAGGGTATTCGTGCTTTATGGCTGTACTTATTTGTATGTCTGTTTTGTTGTTTAATTCCGGGCTTTGTCCGCTCTTCCGAGAGGTGCAGTACCTGAGTTAGGTATCAGTGTCTAATGTTTGTGTGCCTTCTGTCGAAATAGCGTATACCTATAGCGTTTATTTTGCGTATTTCTGTTAGTTGGTAACTTTTGATGTAGTCCGAGCGTAATGGTCCCGTCCAGTGATCTCCCTCTTTATCTTATTCACTTCCTTTTTGTTTGTTTTGGCCTCAGTTCTAGTGTGCATACAGCTCACAACATTGATATTGCTGAGGTCACAGGGTCTATCGCATCATCAGCAAACATGACCAAGACTCCAAAAGGATTCGGACCGGAGCTGTGTCGATGGCTCTGCAGAATCCAATATCCGGGTCGCTAGTGACCTTGGACCCTGTCAGTCATTCCATTCAGTGAGCTCTAAATGTATTGTGTCATAGCATTGTGAATGCAAAATATTGCAGATCTCTTCATCTTCTTCGTTGTGCACTGTGCATTGGGCAGCTGAGGTTGCATATATGAAGAGTTAGAGTCCATTTTTTTATGGGACCCTGCCCCTGTGATTGGAATTACCTACCTGCAAACTCCACAAGTCATTTTGAAAAATAACCAAAGACAAATATCAGGATAGAGTTCCATGAAACGGGGATCCGGATATTCGTTTTTGTTGAATGTGAATTCGCCATGCGCCGTCGTAACAGATGACACATCCTTACTGGTCAGGCTGCCCGCTGATTGAACTGCAATCTGC